CTAGGAACAATTGGTGTTCGTTTATTCTATTAAAAATCTTACAGGCATAATTTTCATAAGTATATTATCATAAAACAATGTAAGAGTTTATAACAACAGAGTTTAACAAATAAAGGGAAAATTTGCAATCATCAACCAACTGTTCAAATAGTAAATTAGACCTCAAGCTTCCATTATTATGCTAGTTGGGTACATTAGGGTTCCATGATGATTTCAATAGATTTACAAAATTGGGGGCTGAAGTAATCTTGCAGTTGCTCAGGCGTGGATGATCAAGATAGAGAGAAAGTATTTGACATCATGAGTTGTCAAGATGATCGAAAATTATGCCTCGCCACTTTCTTGTTAGAAGAATGGGCATATGATTGGTGACAATCAGTACATAGTATATATCGAGACCCTTCTGTTATTAATTGGAAGAATTTTAGGCGTATCTTTTTTGATGCCTATTACCCTCGTTCATATAATGATGTAAAACATGATGAATTTTTGAAGGTAGTACTATTAGAATCCCACATTACTTGGATCATTTTTATATTTGTGCTTATTATTTGAATTAATCTATTTAGCCCCCGTTTGGGCTACCTTTTTATTTCATTAAAATGAAAAATATGACCGTTATCCATCACATCAACATTTAAATTCAAAATTTCTATTTCTTGTGTGGACCCCAATAACGACTATATTTTTCATTCTTATTCTATAATAATATCCAAATTGCTCGAAAACTACTTCAATTTACTTGAATAATAGAGAAATCAAATATCAAGTCATTAAATCAAGTGTTTGTTATCATAAACACCCAATAAATATAAATATTTAAGCTCTAATTCGCAAATACATTTCATCTTTCCCTTCAGTACTAATCTCCCAAGATATATTATTCTTGTTGTTTAATACATAAAATACATATCAATAACCTTTAACTCTTGCTTAAATTTGAATTTAAACAATTATTCATAAACTCTAAAATTTTAATTAGCATACCTTTTGGATATAAGGAGGAATTAAGAAATGAAAAACCCAACGTTGAACAATCGAAACCTACTTTTTTTTTTCCTTCTCTCTCATTTTCTTCTTCCCTTTTCTTCTTTGCTTTTAAATTCTCTGCCTTAGCTTTCTGTTTTTTGAACAAAATTGAGAAAAATGGATAATTACCTTTTAAATTAATAGATAACTATATTAAAATTACAAGTCAAGTCCCTGATCTTCTTACAACATCACATTTAGTCCTTTCATTTCCAATAATATAAACTAAACCTTTATATATTATTTCTAGCCATTCAAGTTGTAGCAATTGCCAATTAGACCCCATGAGAATCATTTATTCAACTTAGTCCTAATTTGGCTTTGACATTTGAATTACTCTATATTTAATATATTTTTTTTGATACCAACCAAGAAACACATTAACCAAATCATCATAAACAACGGGCTAAAGGAACAAGGGAATAAAAGTTGTCTATTGAAACAAACGTCTATCTATAATAGCGATGAACTATTGAGCTTCTGTCGTCACTTTCAGGAAAGTGAAGGCTAAGCCCTCGTAAGGCCTCCATAGGAGTGAAATGGAGAACAAACTTCCATTATTATGCTAGTTGGGTACATTAGGGTTGCATGATGATTTCAATAGATTTACAAAATTGGGGGCTGAAATTTTCACAAGCACAGCTGATCCTGCAGTTGATTAGGCGTGGATGATCAAGATAGAGAGAGAGAGTATTTGACGTCATGAGTTGTCAAGATGATCGAAAATTATGCCTCGCCACTTTCTTGTTAGAAGAATGGGCATATGATTGGAGGCAATTAGTACAGAGTACATATCGAGACCCTTCTGTTATTAATTGGATGAATTTTAGGCGTATCTTTTATAATGCCTATTATCCTCGTTCGTATAATGATGTAGAACATGATGAATTTTTGAAGTAAGTACAAGGGCAGATGACTGTTGTACAAACGTCTATCTACATTAGGGTTGCGTGATGATTTCAATAGATTTACAAAGTCTTTAGTTATTAAGAATTAATTAAGCAAGGTTAAAGATCAACTTGTTCATTTAATCAATAATTAATCTATTAGTTAAGCAATTGATTTGATCAATGCTACAAGTTTATCAAAATAAATTAAATAATTGAGAGAGAAAGTGTGAACTTAAAGTTACAAATGGTGCTGTTAATCAATCTATCAAGCTAATCTTGGGGTAAACGGATAGTCTTCTTTTATTCGAAATTAAGCATGTGATTGCATTTCATTATTTTATTTTTAAAAAAATCATCATTAAGGTTTACTCTTCAAAAAATGGCAACTTGAAGGAATTGAATTGAGTTATTTAAATTTCTTACCGGTTCTTGCGGTTGCTTTATTTTTCTTTGCTTTTGAATTGTCTCCTTATCGGTTTACGTGATGAATAATATTAGAAAATATTAATTTCCCCTTCTGTAGGAATTGACTATCGATATTTTCTGGGAGAAAAAAAAAAAAATTAAAAAAATTGAACAATTAAATATGATGTATTATAGTATGTCATTGATCAGGCTAAAGGACAAACAAGAGGTAGGTCGATTGGGGTAATTTTAGAATTTTCTCACGAACAAAAATAATGGAATACTTTATTATTTGAGGGGTAAAAATAATGGAATATTTTACTATTTTCTGAGGGGTACAACTGAACTGAAGGCATCCGTGTTGAAAATTGAATCTTTCAGGTTTATTATACAAGTTGCATATTGTTTACGCAAAATGGACAAGAAGTACAGCTAGGGCTGCTTCTTGTATGAATACAGGTGGAAAAAGGCTCTACTAAACGTTCCCAGTGACATGGCCAATGTTTGGCCAGACTCGGCATACGTCTCCCATTGCAAAAAAAAAAAATTGCGACAGAAAAAATTGTCATTTACATAGAGATTTTGCTGCAAAAATAATTTAGCGATAACAAAATATTAGTTATTAGTATTGTCGTACTATGTAAGATATAGATTGTATTCTGCTATAACTTTTAATCATTCATCACATAAATAAATTTGAAACATTATTTGTTTGACGCTAACATTATAAACAACAAGATATTTGGCGTCATAATTTCGTTGCAACGCATTAATGCTGCAAAATAGTAGAAGGATAACAAGTCAATTTGTTGCAACGATCGTTCTAAAAGTTTTTGTGCGAAAAAAATGTTTATTGTAACGTGAGTTACATGTTCCATTTTGCAACAACACATGCTTGTAGTAATATACATTTTATAACATGTTATGTTTATCGTGTAATTTATTTTACAATGCATTTGATGTGTTGCATTATATTTTAAAATATTCAATGTTTGTAGTACAAAATGTAACAACTAGTTGTATTTGTAGTCAAATTTAATTCGCAATGTATTGAGTTTGTCACGTCATTATTTGTGCAACATTGTATAGTTCTTCTCTAATTTATTTTACGTTTATTTATATATGCCGTGGATTGTATTTTAGAACTTATAAAATTCATTACAAACATTATTCTTTGGCAATGAATATTAGTCTATATGATAAGTCGTGTAGTTGAACTTCTATTACAACTCAAAGAATTCTCCATTGTTGAATACGAAAGTCAAAATCAACATGTAAAGGCAATATCAATCCGTAACACGTGATTTCATTCAATTCCAGTTCTCAACCCATTACCAATGTGAACTTTGAAGCTTCTTTTGTAACACCCAAAACTTCTTCGTAGTGACTTCATTCAATGTCTCATTTCTCTCTCGCACATTAGTTGTGGCATTCTTTCCTTTTTCTCTGTTTATATAATAAACCATAACGACCGTAATGACCTTGCTGCCATAAGCAGCACTTCTGATGAACTTTACAGTAAGTGCATTTCTCCTGCAAGGTAAATTTTGGCACCTCAAACTAGAATTTCCATGTGTATGGTGTGCTCTGGTCCTATGAAGAAATATATTCATAATGTTTTCAAATATTACGATCGTCATGTCATGACGACTTTAGTGGAAATGTGTTAGGCCCTGTTTGGGAGGAATTAAATTTTTCTACAGTAAATCAATTCTCATTTTCAACCACATATTTTTCAGTAAAATTATATTTTCCATCACATTAATAATTTTTTCTTATTTTTCAACCACACATTTTCCATTATATCACTATTCAAAATCAATTCTTCCCCCAAAAATCTCTCCCAAACAAGCTCTTATTCTTGCGTTTCCTTGGAAAGCATACATATGATTGGCTGTAGAGGTGTCAATCCGGGTTGTCCGGGTTAAGTCGGCCCGCCAACATATGAGCTCGATAACGGCCACCGTGAAAATAAGCTCGCCTGCTACGAGTTCCAGGCTGTTCCACAAATTTTGGACTACAACCCAGGCCGCCTGCTGACCAATCCGGGTTGAGCCCTTGTAGGTCATGGGTCGCGGTTTGTTCTGATTTGGCCCGTATTGTTGTATAAATAAAATTATAAAAATATAGAATTTTTCATATCCAAATTATTGTAGAATGAGAATGAAAAATATAGCCGTTATTGGGCTCACATAAAAGATAGAAAAGTTGAATTTAAATGTTGATGTGATGGATAATGATCATATTTTTCATTTTAATGATATAATAATGTAGATCAAATGGGGGTTTATAGTAAAAAATATTTTTTTTGTTAAATGTAAACAAGAATTGAATAAAATGATAAATTCATATTTATACCAAAAAATGTTTACATACAATTCAAATTTAATATTACATGAATTATTTATAACTTTACAAAGTTAAATTTAACTTAAACAAATAACAACTAAATGCATTTCTAATTACTATTATCAAATATTTATAGTATAAGTACATTCCAACTAAATTGACATATTCCCCCCTTTTTTTCAAATTAAAAATCGCGGCCCGAGAAGGTACAACCCGTGAAGCTCGCGGGTCACACTATTTGACTCGTGAACTACCCGCTCGGANTAAGTGTCCTATCCTCTTCCTAGATTTCAACAAGTGAGTATTTCGTATTCCAATTCTCAACCAATGGCTATCCAAGCATTACGCTTTTTCGTGCTCATCCTTCTTATTAGCTTCGTTCATTGTCGAATTCTAAGACTCAACTCCTCTGATGATTTAATATCAGATGGAATTGATCGCGTTGACAATGAATCTCCTATTCTTACTGCAAATGTTTCTGTTTCCTCCACAAACACTTGTAATCACCAATATGGCTTCCTCCCATGTGCAGAAAATGCCGGAGGTTACATTTTTCAAATACTGATTTATCAGGGCCTACTCATGTTCGGAGAAAAGGAGCTGAGCACTGGGAGCAGGGTGCTATTCAATATTCTTGGAGCCAGCAACATTGTTGGTATTATTTTCCGAATCCTCGTGGGGTTACCAGCAATTTTGATTATGATCGGTAAGTTGTTCTTAATCATTTGTTTCACCTTTCTTAATTATTAAAATGATTAGAATATAAATTATATCAACTTTTTTCTGGTTTCGTGCTCACTCACAAAGTGTGTTTTTTCTCACCCCTTGCAGTATCTGGAGTTTTCAGTAGCAAAGACGAAGCTCAATCTAAGGTGTCACTTGGAGTGGGTATTTATGCTGGAATCACTGTCTTTACTCTTACATTACAATGGGGTATATGCGTAATTTTTGGCAGGAGAAAGTTGCCTAAGGAATTGACGTCTGATCATACTGAAGACGCACCAACTACAAAGAATTGTTTGCTAGCAAAAGAAATAGTTTCTGACTTAAAAGGTCTGCCTCTTTTGCATGAATCATTTCAGCTTTGCATTATATATAAGAGCTGATAATTCTTTATTTAACTGCAGATACTGGTGTTACCATAGACAAAGAGACTCGTCGTACGGCTGGAATTATGCTCTTGTCTTTGATTCCTTACATAATCATACAACTAGTCGATATCTTAAAAACATCATTCGAAGCTCACGTAGTGATTTTGATATCACTCTTCATATCATCCACAATGCTACTATTATATCTCGTCTACCAGGTAGAACGACTGATTAAAAGCTAATGATGTAGAACTAGCTCCATAAAATGCTTGTCCCTTTAGATATGATTTTATCGTAAATTTCTAATTTTCTTTTCCTTTTCAGGTTATGAATCCTTGGATGCAGGAAAGAAGTTTAGCCTACACAAAGTATGAGACAATGAGAAAAGGATTTCTGCAGCACATGCAACAACATGGGAAGCTCATTGATGAACATGGGAACCTTAATGTTCCTGTCATCAGAAAGTAATTTTGTACAAAATTATACGTATATTTCATATATAATCAAATGAAGGGCTCTCATTATATGCTTGAATTTGCAGTTTATTTGCTGAAACGGATAAAGATGCCAACAAAACTATAACAAAGGATGAAATGGAAAAGTTGATGCATGATTTAATCAATACAGGGAAGATGAAAGTTGACGAACAATTTGCTCTTTCTGAAGCAATGAAACTATTTGATTTTAACCACGATGGGTCAATTAACTATCAAGAATTCGCCGATGGTTGCAAAAAGTTGATTACTGAAACCGAACAGTCGACTAAAATTGGTGATACCTCTTCAAGTATTCCCATGGCAAGCTACTTTTTCATGGCATTTTATATTTGTTGATGCTAATTTTTGCAAGTTGCTTCTATTATGGTATTATATTGGAGCTTCTACTATCTCTTTGGATAAAATGAAAAATTTCTTGACTCGTTTGTTGGTCTTCCAACATTTTAATCAGAAGAAAGAAGATGATCCCGAGGAGATTGATTTGATAAGATCGAAAATTCTAGAGCATGCTCGAAAGCAGTTACTTATATCAGAATCACTTATCACAGATGATGGGAACACCAACATGGAGGGAATTAAGACGTAAATTTTTTTATACTTTACCTTTCTGTACTTTTCAGTTTATCTTAGGTTAGTTTATTTGCTTGCAGAATTTCCTCATAATCCTTTTTTTCTGGCAGTCTATTCAAGCAAGTTGATACAGACAATAACAATGAGATATCAAAAACTGAACTAGAGAAACTGATCCGTTCACTCAATTTCGGAGAATTTCAGCTGAATTATGAGGAAGTTGTAAATGATCTGTTCAAAGATTTAGACAAGGATGGTAACAATGTGATTGATGAAATAGAATTCATCAATGGACTTAAAGAATTGGTGAATGACGCCCTTCCTGCAGCTAAACACTTGGGTGAGAATGGAAGTGCTAATGAAATTCACAAGGCAAGTGGCATATCTATCTGTTTAGGAAATTTGTATGATTTAGACAGTTCACTGATTACATTATATATTTTTTCTTATCCTTGAATTGCAGATTGTGAAGGAAAAAGTGGTGCATGGAAAGTCAGTAGTATGGACTCTTATCAAATCTGTATTACAAGTGGTACTGGGTATTGTTGCAATGACCTATCTTGGAGGACCTCTGACAACTAGTATCCTACAGCTATCATATTCCATGAATGCGCCTTCTTTCGCCATCTCATTCGTGGTAGTGCCTTTGGCCATGAATAGCAGAGCTGCGATAGCAGCACTCTCTCCAGCCAGTCACAAGAGTGAAAAGACTGCTTCTTTGACATTTTCAGAGGTACATCTCTCTTTGAAACCACCATCTTTAACAGCTCATGTAGTTATACAATAGACGAAAAGTCCCCAACGTGTCAAACAACATTCATTTTTTAATGAAAGGCATCATGCGTACAATTTTCATAAATGGTAATGTTGACGTTGGAAAAAGGGCCTTAGCAAAACCATGTCGTCTCTTGTGCATAACATGAACTCATTTGATTTGCAGATTTATGGTGGAATTGTAATGAGCAACATCTCAAATTTGACAGCACTATTAGCAATTGTATATGCAAAGGATTTGAACTGGGATTATTCAGCGGAAGTGTTAACAGTTTTGGTGGTTTGTGCCATAATAGGGTTTCTTGCATACTCACGCACCAGTTATCCTCTGTGGACTTGCTTATTAGCATTTTTCCTCTATCCATTCTCCTTAGGTTTGTTTTATTATGCTGAATATGTTTTGCGTTGGAATTAACCTGATTATGCTAATGATGTTTTTTTTTCCTTCTCCCACAAAAATTAACATTCTAATGTTCCTTCATTACAAGGAAGTAATAATCAAATAAATGTTGGCTATAGGTCAGTCACTGTTTTTCTTTTAAACTTTTTCTAGGTTTATCTAGTTCTATATGTCATTAGTATCTTTGTTAGAAAAAGAAAAAAATGATGACCCGATTCACGGGACACCACTAATACTAATAATAGTGTGATGCGAGTTGTTTGATTAATGTGACTTAATTTAAGAGATATTCATTGCATTGTGAATGTAGTCCTCATGATTATAAAGTCATGGATAATTTCGTTCTACATAAATATGTGACGTTTTATATACTACAATGAAGAAATTAACTCAGAAGAAGTGTAGGAGTTGCAAAGGATCGTTATTTTATCCTCGGTTAAAGTTTGCACTAATGGTCACTCAGTTAAAAATATTAACTGAAATCCTAGGTAGCAACGTTAAGTATCAAACTCTCAACAAACAATGTTTTTTCAATTTTTGCCGTTTTGGTATAATAACTAACGTTGTTTGTTGACGCGTTGACACTTAATGATGGCAAGTAGAATTTAACTTATATGTTTTTAACTAATGATAATAATTATTAGAAGCTTGAGTGATTATTATCATAAGGAATTAGCTTTAGTTACTATTAGCATAATTACTCAAAACTTCATTGACCATTGAAGGTGCTATTAACCCTGGTAGAGAAGAATGACAAATTATGGTATTTATGTTTCTGTTAATGCCTTTTTTTTTCTTTTTTCTTTTTTTTTTTTTTTTGGGGGGTGGGGTGTATTTGGGTAGTATTGGTTATTTTAATAGTCAACTTAGAATAATTTTCAGGCTAATTCTACTCTTTTTAAAAATAAAAATTAAAAAATCAGACAACCACACAACTGGAGTATTTATTAATACTGCAAACCAAACAAAATAAAATCTTAGTATGAGCGCATACGGCTAACCTCAAGTCAACAAAAGTAAAATTTTAAGAAATTAACTAGGCCAGAAAAAATAATGACAATGTATCATAATGAAGGAGTGAAAATTCTTGAATCATCCTGTCTGAAATCTGAATGAACATAGATAAAGTTTTATTATGAATGCACTTTTCAAGTGCAAAGTGAGTTATTTTTTCATCGAAATCTGTGTAATTTTACTAATAGATAGCAAAAAGCCTTGAACTCAAAATTTTTTTTTTTTTTTTCCGCGTATTGACTTTAACATCATGTAGCAAAACATCAAATTACAAGTTCTAGACAATATAAAGAAGTTAATTATATCAGCAATCTGAGTCCTTCAACAAACGATATTGTCGTGACTTCGATAATCAAGTCATGACACATTTAGATTTCGATGTTCGAATATGTTGATCCTCTCGACCCAACATTCTTGAATATTTCTTTTAAAGCAATGTCCTATCCACAATTCCACGTACAAAGCTTAGCATATTAACAATCAGAGGAGTGTTTAATAAAGAAAATGACAGAGAGGGGCGTGAACTTAACATCAGAAGTCAAATAATGCTGTATCAAAAGGTAAGGAAGGAGAAATTTGATTCCAAGTAAACGCACAGTCTTCTTTTATTCAAGATGAAGCATGTGACCATATTACAAAACAGCTTAAAATTTAAAATTTTCATCTGTTAACGTTGACCCTCTAAAATAATAGGCAACTCGAAGGTATTGAATAAGGAGGGGGCAGGGGAAGGCCCTTGCCCCGTTTACTACCTAGTTTAAATTTTTTTTTTTTTTCTTTTTTTTCAATTTTTGATAATTTATTTAAGCGGGTTATCCTCGCCCCGTTCGGGGTGGGGACCTGCGGATATCGAGTTTGTTGAATTGTTTTGCCATACCTAGTATTAAATTGATTTATATAAGTTTCTTAACAATATTTGCGGTTTCTTTGATGCTATCTACCGTTGAATTGTCTAGTTATCTGCTGTTTACATGATGGGAAAAAAAATATAATATTAATTACTGATTTGTAGAATATGATTTTTGGTATTTTTCTTGAGGGAAAAAAAAAAGGAAATTATTTCTTTCACAGTTAATTTGATGTATTATTGGCTGATGCAATATGGGACTAGATTAACGAAATAATTTAGCCCTTGATGCCCATTAAAAATAGTTTTTTGGGAAAAATGAATTTTGAAATAATAATATTTTGAAAAATGTGTGGTTAAAAAGTATGATTTTTTTTGGATTTATATGTAAAATATTTTATTATGAGAATATGTGATGAAAATAAGTTTTAAGGTTTTTTTTCCTGAGAATCGTAAACAAACAGGAGCTTGCTTTTTCATTGTCTTGTATTTTTGGATGTATTTGAATATTTGATTAGGGATTATTAGCACAAAACGTCCCTGCGTATGGAGTTCATTGTGCAAAATGTCTCAACGTTGTATATTTTTTTTTTCATCCCTATTTCAGTCTTTTATTGCAGAAATTATCATTTTTTTTTTATCTAATTTCACAATAAAAAGTTGTGAAATAACTAATATATCGTCATATTTAAATAAAACAAAAGGAGAAGAAAAGAAAATTTTAAAACTAATTGCAATCATAATTCAATTTTTTTTATACAAAAAATACAAACAAATTCCAAATAAATTATTAAAAAATTAAAAATAAAAAACAAATTCTCCTTTCTTTCTCCTCCTCCTCCCCCACCAACACTCAACCAACCCACCTCACTCAAGAAACCACTCAATTCAACCTTCTCCGAAAAAATCCCATTACTATTTTGAGGGCTAACCGTGGACTAGTAGATGCCAAGGCCAAGCCAGTAAGCATACTCCTTCATGGGAGTGAGATTTTATTCAACCTCGATACTCTCTTGGAGCACATTGATGTTGCTGTGCTGCTTCACAATTAGGCGATTTATGATATTTGCCGCAAGTCGCTTTCTTCCTATGCCCCATTCATATATGTTGATATTACAAAAATCACAAACACAGCATTTGAGCCATCTTTCATGATGGTTAAATGTGATCCTCGCCACTGGAAGTACATGGCTTGTTGTTTGATGTACAAGGGTGATGTAATGCCATCATCGATTGAGGGCGTTTTTTGGGTGGGTGGGTGGGTGAGTGAGGAGGAGGAAAAAAGAATTTTATTTTTATTTTTTAATAATTTATTTAGAATTCGTTTGCATTTTTAAAAAAATGAGAGTATGGTTACAATTAGTTTTTTTTTTTTTTCTTTTCTCCTCCATTTGTTTTATTTAAATATGAATGTATATTCATCATTTCACAGTTTTTTTTTTATTGAACAAGTAAATGAAAATGATGATTTCAACAATGAAATGTTGAAATAGAGGTGAAAATTCAAAAAATAAAAATAAAAATAAATACAACGCTGAGATTGTTAGGTATTTGATGTAATGACAAATCTATGAACAAAAGGGACAAAAATTAACATGTTATAAAAGTCAAGGAGTTATGTGCAAATAGTGAGAATCAAGTTATTTTAGGTATAGGGTTCGAGAATGAAAAAGAAGGAAAAATGGCGCCGCAATTTCATTAGACTGTTGCCCAAGACTTGGCTCGAGCATCAGACACAGTAACATTGTCGTTAGCCTGTCGACAGACCTTTGGTCGAGCGATATACTGTCACTTGACTGTCGCCCAACTCTTGCTCGAGCCACAGGTTTATCCGGAAATTTTTTAAATTCGTTTTCTTAAGGCTTTTTATTTGGCCCATTTATATACTAACCTACATATAAATACCTAAACGCCTCTGCACGAGATTTCCAATGTTGAACATTGTGGAAAACGTATTCTTGTCATATCATCTTGATAAATTTGCTTTCAACCTTCATCATGTTATTGGCAATTGGCGGTGAAAACATCAAACTCACAATCCAAATACCAAACTGGTGCTTCCTTCATATCTGTTAGAAGTTCTGAAGATCAAGGAAAGATGACTAAAATTTGAAGAACGCGGTGATCTTCGTTAATTCACAGGAGATAGACAATTTCATAAAGTTGGAAGTTGCTACAGGAGATTGCAATCTAGGAGAGTTTTGGAAACTGCAACTAGGAGATGGTATAGGAGCACGAAGTCCAGAAGAGCTGTTGGAATTGTGTTTAAAAAGTTAAAAAGTACTACTGGTAGTCGAGTCTGACGGACTGTAAGTTCTAAATCATCTATAGTGGGCTGTTAACTGGTAAAGTGCTCGGAGCTTTTATCGAGTTGGAGTTGGGGTTTCTCCGTGATTAGATCTTGTGTTAATTTATTGCTTTCATAACTCCAGTATTTTAATATAGGATAAAATTGAATCGTATGATTAACCATCTAGAGATAATTAAAAGTAACTTGTTGCTATTTAATTATCAAGTTTTTAATTCCGCGTAATCACCTATTCACCCTTCTCTAGGTGTAATTTGGGTCGAACTTCGTATTTTCAATTGGTATCAGAGCCTTATTTTGATTCCCGACTCATAATTAATTTTAGTTGAGTCGGTCCTTATCCGTGCATCCGTTTTTCAACGGAAGTAATTATGCTTATTGGAAAGTTCGAATGAGAGCTTTTCTTAAAGCATTGGATGAGCGTTCAATCTGGGTGGACTGCACCTTCAACTACTGTTGCTGGTATAGCTACAACCACTAATATTTCACTCTGGACTAAAGATGACTTAACCAAGTGTAACTGGAACAGTAAAGTCATTCATGTCTTGTTCATGGTTGTGTCTGCTTAAGAGTTTAGGAGAGTATCGATGTGTGAAACTGATAAAGAAGTTTGGGATATATTAGAAACCACACACGAGGGAACTAAAACTATTGAAAAACTCTAATTACAGATGTTGACCTTTGGGTTTGAAGAAATTAGAATGACGGACGATGAATTGTTTGATGAATTCTATGCGAAATTTAATGATATAGTTAACTCTAGTTTCAACTTAGGAGAAAAGATCCACGAGTCTAAAATCGTTAGAAAAGTCCTTAGATCTCTACCTGAAAGGTTTAGACCTAAAG